TTTCTGCATTAGCTATGCTGTATATCACACATCATAGTATTATCCAGAAGGAACAAAGAAAATGTAATTGTACATGAACAATCTCTTTTCAACTATTGACTAATCTGTTATCCATGCTGATCATGCTACAAGTAATGTACCACATGAACAACTTAAAATCAATCACCTACCTGTGCATTGCAGATATATCACATGTTATGTAGCTACCATATTTTTCTCACATCCTGCCAGAGGAGTTTACATCAGTGATTCGTAGAGGACATGTATGGGGTACCAAGACTTATTTTTCTCTTGGTTTGGCAATTAACTGGTGTTCCCAAGCATTTACTCCAAAACAAATACTTACAACTCATTTAATAATGACCAGTATCAACAGGAAGCTCAACAAGTGGCTAAAGTTTGCTGCTGCTGTTTTAAATTTAGCTACTCAGAACATAATGTCCACGTAGCACGGGCTATGGTGAGCCCGTAATTGTGGCTAAAGGGGAAATATGTAGTGGTGGACTCAAGTCTTAAATCTGTGCAATACACAATACTGAAAATATAATTGTTAGATACTGTATTTACAAAAGCATGTATGATAGAACTATGATACTTTGAGTTTATGTTAAAACTGAAAATGGTAAAATCGTGAGTGGGAAGGAAAATGAGGAGCAAGCCTAAGATAGTGTTGACCTGGCAGTCTGGGAATGACAAACAAAAATGTTATCAGAGTATTCCTGTCCTAGACTACACATCTCCACCTACAAATTACAGAAGACACCTAAGTAATTACCAATGAACAAATATCCTTTCTCAACAATACATATTTCCTCTACTAACTACCAACATTTAACTTCTTTAGAAGCATGAAAAACAAAAATAAGTAATCAAACTAATTCTTCCATATATTGTACTGTACTACAGGTATAATAAATTAAATAATTAATCTATCTGGTATGTTTAAGTAGTTCTATTCAACTACTGGCATCCCACATGATTTCTATGAGACATTTAATTTGTGACTTGCATAGTGCTAAACAGTACAGCATATTGGCATAGCACTTTTTGTTAATTACTTACTCAGTTGAGTGCTGAAAAATAAAATAGATGAATAATCAAATTTGTGGGCCCCATCAGCATGAATAATAGACTAGCCACTATCATATAGTATTTCAGAGATAGTGAAACTTGTTTACTTATAAATACAGTATGTAGAAATATAAATTATTTGCAGTTCACAGATGGGATTTAATAACTTTTAAATTAAATCAACTTCATTATAGAACATTATTATATTTATTTATTTTTCCTGTATTTGTAGAATATTATTCCTCAGTGAATTTTCCCAAATGTGAAATAACAAAATTTATGTTTTATTCAAAATTGTCATTTGCAATGAAACTACACTACAGGAGATAATACTGTTATATATGAGGGAATATTTTATCGGGCAGGTTTGTACATTAGGACAATGAATTAAAACTAAACTTCATGTTGAAATTTAGTTATTGGAGATTGAGGAAGTTGCATCAACCAGATGTGCTAAAGCTTTTGTTGTTCTTTCAAGATGTTCGTGCTACAGAGTTACATAATTTGCCATAAGTTAGGTGTTGTCTGCTCCACTATGTATGAATATATATACAAATTTCCAGAATAGCATTCGGGTGCAGATACAACACCTCCCTTATCATGTTGTATACTGCAGATGTTTTTTGTATATTACATATATGTTAATGTTCATAACATTGGAACAAAACAAACATGGTCTTACCATATGGCCTTCCATTTAGAACAGGGTACTTTGAATAACCTGATCTTTGGAAATGAATTGGAGTAGACTGTGCATGCCCTGAGAGGACTAATAGTAAAATACTTGTACATCAATGAATAATAAACCAGCTTGTCATTTGTACTCTGGACATCAATGTAGTTTCGCTACAGAAAGGGAAGCATAGAAAGCTTATACATATTGTACCTACATATTGTAACGAGCATACTAGGGAAAAATAACATGGAGTTCCTAAGAAGAATAATGTCTTAACAACTGAGGTTGCTTGAGTTATGCATCACATCAAGGTTAATTTTAACCTTAATTATTCTACATTTCACAAAAATCAACTTATACTGTAGTTATTTACAAGTACAGTAATTAACAAAACTAACAAAAACAGAAACTGAACAAGCAAGCATTTTGAAGCAAAGTTTGATAATTTGCCTGTTCATATAACTCACATTATTTTTTCATCTATTATATACAGGAATGTAATAGCCATGGTAATAATAATTAGGACTCGAAAGGGAAGTCATCACACTTAAGAAAAGACATGGACAATAATTTCTGCACTGGGACTGCTGAAATGAAGTACTGTATGTAGTGCTGGTATAATCCATAGCTTCCCAATTTACCAATGTAGATAGATAGAATAGAATTTACAAAAATTCTCATTTCATACATCTAATAACTGCCATAAATGCTGTCTAGGCTACACAAAGTGTAATACTGTAGAATGTACAAATGGGTTAGAAATGCTGAATTGAAGCTCTTCTATACTGGCAAACTACTTCAGAGTTACCCTCCAAGCCTGGGAGTGGAACAGTGGTGAAAGACAGTACTGTACACCTGACTATTCACTTGATGTGAAGACAGCCGAGGCAGGGCTAACCTCTGATAATGTTCCACACTTCATATTCAACTACAGATGGTAAACTAAGGCTCAAGAACTGTTCCTTAAGATGTTGGACAAGTATAATGTACATCCACAAGGGAGTCAGCTAGCTTCCAGACAACTTTAACCAATCATGGCTCCACTGTCAATGGGCTGGCAACACAATACTGAAACCCTTTCTCCTTATCATCCAACATTTTACATTTCCCACATTTGAAATATTTAACTCTCTGTGTACACTCCTAGTTGTACTATATCATGTGCTGTACATGAATGTACTTCTTGTAGCTTAGATGTCAACAGTACAGTATTACCATTGTTTGTGAGCCCTGTCTTTGGAACAAATCACTATTTACTCCAAGTGTTGACAAATTCACATCATTAACAAATAAAATGACCAGAAAATTGCAGGTCCTTAATCACACTCAGATTAAGCATCCAATGGCAGGTCTAAAACATTTTTAAACTTGACCGGCATTAGTTTTTGTAAACCTCATTAAGATTTCATATGCTTTTCACTTTTCTACTTATTAAGGATACTTTTTTGGTACACTGTATGGGAATTAGTTTATGAACATTTTTATACCCAAAATGATTAGAGAAGTGCAATGTGGGCCCTCATAGAGGATTGGTTTAGGGCTCTGTTCCCAGACACACTCAGGTCACTTAAGAGATTCAAAATGCATGTACTACAAACTTATGTATTCAGCTGGTAATTTCCTCAGTGTGTTCACATAACGCTTCAAGATACAATAATTGTGTATACAAATAAATTGCCGTAATTTAATAGAGTGCAAATGTGGTTGAGTCACCACGGGTTAAGTACATGGGTGGGTAGTATAACTGCATTCAGATGCATTGATTTAAGTGTGTTATGGACCCAAGCCTTAGAGTGTCTTCTGTTCTGAGAATGAGTGCCTGTCAAACCTCAATGTACCGTATATCACTAGAATACAAATATGTAAGGCAATGTATTTGTGAACTCTCATGGTTTGATTGACAATTAGTTATTGTTGTATTGCCATGAATGGTTATGATTTTAAAGATATTTATGTACAAATAATTTAAGTTTTTATGTGGCGAGGTGGTGCTATGTGTGTATGGCAATGTATTATACGAAGCCAATAAAATGTGAGGTCTCTTGAGGATTTGACTCCCAACAAAATTAGTTGTCTACTCTGGCAAAGAGATTCTTAATTAAATCATTCAGGCAATTCAAGAGCCATAATTGTAATTATATACGAGAACAAGAAAATATTACAGATCAATTTCTCCAGAAATCAAGTTAATGGGTTTTCAGCTGTATGCTGAGAAGTGACAACAGAGTACAGAGGTCAAATCTGGCTTGATGTCTACATTCTTGAGGTTATCTCGAGATTATTTCGGGGCTTAGTGTCCCCGCAGCCCGGTCCTCGACCAGGCCTTCTTTTTTGTTACATACCCCAGGAAGCAGCCCATAGCAGCTGTCTAACTCCCAGGACCCTATTTACTGCTAGGTAACAGGGGAATCAGGGTGAAAGAAACTCTGCCCATTTGTTTCCGCCTCCACCGGGGATCGAACCCAAAACCTCAGGACTGAGAATCTGAAGTGCTATCCACTCAACTGTCAGGCCCCTACCTTTGTACTCACCTAATTGTGCTTGTGAGGGTTGTATAGCCTATCACACGATTCAGTATCCAGTCATATGTATTCATAACTTTACTGCTTCTGGTTTAATTTCTATAAAACATTAATGAAAATGTAATTCTAATCTCACTGATGAGTTTGATACTGCTACATATAAATATGTCCTAAATCAATAAGAAATAATTAACAAATTTACTGTTTAAATACTGTACAGAGATATGCTGTAAAGTTTCAGTACTAAACAGAATGCAACTTTAACCCTTAAAGTGCAGTTATAATTAAATGTGATTCATGGGGTAATGTAGTTACCATCAAATGTTAATGTAACTATATTATTGTCTTGGTTTTACATGAATGGTTTTACATGAATAATGTCTATATGGATGCACTGCCTTGACACATTAAAAAAAATCTTGCTATCATTTCATGATTGCTTACTATGCAAATTCAGTTAGCACAAATGTTACTATGCTAATGCAGTAATTGTCATGGTTTAAAATTTCAATTCAATTACACGATATGTATACCGATTATGTTCACATGGTTTTCACAACTCTATATGGCTATGGTTATAATGAAGTATACCAGGTCAACCAATCATCATTTGAACATAATAATAAAGCAACTACAAGAGGCCTATTGACCCATATGAGGCTTTCTTGTTTTTCCCCATAATATCCGTTATAGTTCAGGCTTTAAGGGAAATCATTCATTCTAAGCAAACATTTGATGGAAAATGTTTATTCTTTACAGAAAATAAATACTATAGTTGCACAATATTAAAATTAGAATTATAGCTTCACTGTTGATAAAACTTACAACATATAAAACAAATCTTGCACCACTGCAAGATCAACAAGAGACAGCCTCACTATACTCCGCCACATTTTAAGCCTCACAACACAACAAATGCATCACAATTTTCCTTTGTAAGGGATGCTGATGTACATCTCATCAATCACTACAGTAGCCAGTTAAAAGTAAATTATAAAAGATATCACACAGAGATGAACAACATTAAAATGAAGAGGGAGGACAATTAAAGCACCGAATTAAAAAGTGAAGTGAATATTTTAAATCTAATGGGTTTCCTTTATTGGGTTAAAATATTTGTGAAGTCTTAATTATAATGAAAAAAGCATTTCAATGTCATATTTGCTAATATTTATAGCCACTAAGAGTCTATGAGAACAAATAATATACAGTACTGTGTACTTAAAAAAAAAACTGAGGAGACTTGCTTTTAGAATCTCAGCCAAGTTGGCTGTGTAATTAAAAGAAAATTTATTGTGAAAACTCACACCAAACAAACAGAAGTTAAATTACAAATTCCAAGATAATTGCATCAAATATTTGCCTAACTAATACACTAAATAATTTCTAAACATACAGATGTGTGTGTCCAGCAGTGAACACACACACACACATGTCAAAATATACTTCAAGAGCTACTCACAATGATCATAGGCTCTGAATTACCCATAAAATACTTCAAAAATCAACTCAAATGGTCCCTGGCTATGAACTTCTTGGCAAGTGCTGGAACAACAGCTGCAATCAACATTTTATTTATTTCATCTGTGCACTTCAGTTAATCACTGTCACTGTCAAACACAGCACCCTTGCGAGCACCTCGAGGTGGTGCAACCTGCTGACTAGGTCGGTAGAAGGAATCCATTGTACTTTGATTTTTTGACTGGAAGGAGAAATTGATACATCAGTACCTACTGAATTATGAAAATTGTGCTTCATTTACAGAAATACAATACTGCTTAGAAAACCTCACAAACTCTGCCACAATCATCTTGCTAGTGACTTCAACTTATGGCACCCAAAATGGAAAAATGTGGCAAATACATTTTTACAAGAAATAATCTCAGGAAGGAGTCTAAATGAACAGCTACACACAAATGACCTCTTGCAGATATGTGACAAATTTCCCTTAAACCAGCAAACAGTAGAACAAACTAGAAAAGAAAACACCCTAATCTTATTTTTACAAACAATGATGAACTGATTAGGGGCATAATGATTACAAATACATGTTACTCAGATCACAACCTAACTGGAGTTCAGATATGCATGGGCAACAGATCTGTGCAGCCAGTCTCAAATCCAAGCGAAGAATTACAAAAATTAAATTTTAATAACGAATGGATTAACTGGAAACAAACCAAGACCTCACAGAAATATGCTGGGAAAGACAGCTAGATAATGTAAATTTAAACCAGTACTTTGAGAAAATAGGCATAGTAGCACCAGAAATATGTGCAGGAGAAAGAGAAAGAGATGCAAATTGGAATGTGAACAGCATTCCATCTATAGAAGAAGAAAAATCACTCATCATCTCAGCCACTCTTATTCTATCCCAAGAGTGGCAATGAAGGCTATGTAGAAAAATAAAAACGACTGAGCTAAAGCTGCAAAAATCATGTAATGTCCAGGAGAGACAGAGAGAGCAAGAGGCCATAAGTGAAACAGGAATCCAAAACACTTTTTCTATATAAAATCTAGAACAAAAACTACATCCAGCATTAGGCTCTTGTGCAAGGGGTGATGGAACTTTCACAGATGACAATAAAGAAATGAGTGAAATACTGAGGTTACAGTAAGATTCTGTTTTCAGTGAGCCGCTAAACACATTGAAGATTAGTGATCCAAATGAATTCTTTATGAATGCGACACCGTCATTGAACCATATATCTGATTTCACCCTAACTCCATTGGACTTTGAAGTTAGCCATAGACAGCATTCCCATGCACTCTGCACCAGACATGGACTCCTGGAATTCTATATTCATCAAGAATTGCAGAAAACTACTATCACATATACAAACCATCTTTTCAACATTTCCTGTACACATATGGGGTAGTTATGCCTTATATGTGTAGAGAACTTGATAAACACCTTCAAAGGATACCTGATCAACCAGGCTGTGGCTCATACATCAGGCTGCAAGCAGCTGTATTGAACAGCCTGGTTGACCAAACCACCAACCAGGAGGCTTGGTCAGAGACTGGGCCACGAAGGACATTGACCCTCTGAATAACTGACGGGTATACAACCTATTTGAGAAGTAAAGCATTTGGCTTTTGTTGCCCATGGAAGCTTTACATGGGAATCAGGCATTTATCTTTTTTTATGGTTTCCTTTTGAATAAACATTCACAGTGCATCACTACTTACCAATCTGTCATATGTTCAGACTGTCAACAAATGTTGTTTTCCCATTCCGTGAATGTTATTTCAGCCATTTTTTGTTTGATTAACATGGTATTCTGTTTTTCCTATCTTCTATCTTTTACTTTCTTACCTGTATACGAAGTTTGAGGCAATACCGTTCTCTCCAAAAACTCATTTCTCAATTTTGCACCTAGACTTGTGAAGTGCTGCTGTGGATGTTTTACTGGAGTGTGGTAGTGCTGCTGGTTCTTTGTGATACTACAGTCTCTAATGAGCAAGATATATTTAATGGACAAGTGTCATTTCTGAGTATTTAAAACTTTTAACTTTACTGATTTCCTACTTTATCCAGCTTATCTACTATTCAGCTTATCTACTATTATCTACTTTCCTCCCAATGAAAAGGTGTAAATGATTGAGAACAAATGACATAGAAATACTGTATGGTAACCCCATTGTCCATCACTCGGTGTTACACAGCCTCACATCCTGCAATAAAGGCTTATGAAACTGGCTTAAAGATCATTATTTTCAATCCTCTCCACTGAAGGCCAACTGAAAGTGGAGTAAACCAAAAGAACAAGTCACCAAAGACACAGATATATTTCATGAACAAAAAGTTAACTTACCGTGGCTCGTCCCCTACCCCGACTTCCTCTTCCTTTACTTGCTGCGGCCGACAATTTTGGAGATCCATCACTATGCCGAAAAGTATGATTAATAATATCTGAAATGCTCACCCCCAAAAAATTCTTATATCTAAATGAAAACTATTACTCGTGTAAATTATTTTAGATTATATTGTATTAGGTTTACTGCAAAAAGCATAATGCAAATAAAAAATAGACAGTGTTCCATATAATAACACTGCAATGGATAATGTCCATGCAAAATGCATGGACATATTAACCAAAGATGGCCATGTCTGCAGTTTCACCTTGAATCTCAGTGTCCAGACACCTTTACACTGACCTCCAGACAATGAGACTTATTGCTCCTTGGCAAAGGATGGTCGGCCCCACGACTGTCAGTGACTAGTCTAGGAAGGTTTAAGAGACAGGCACTAGGAATCCCAATAGTTGATGGCCTATTTCTCAAAAACCACTGAGCATTAACATCTGATATTATGACATGATAGCAGGGTGTGTTTGCATTCTTTAGGGATGTTATTTATTGTTTGGTGACATTTGTTTGTTCCTCCCCATGTGTCCGATGACTAGAAACCCAGAGCTCAATTGGTTTATAGCCAAATGGACCGGAGTTCGATTTGCAGATCGGGCGAACTATTTGGACACATTTCTTTACACCTCACTGCCTCTGTTTGCTTAACAGTCAATAGGTAACCCCAGGAGTTAGGCAACTGTTGTGGGTCACATCTGCCGGGATTTAGACAAAGGGAACCTCAATAGGCCTAACAGGCTTCCTGTCCCTCAACAATGCAATTGAAAACCATTCCTATGAACTACTGACCATTAAGGTTTGATTTTAACACGTAAGATAGCATGGTGTGTTTGGCAAGTCTCGGGGAATTTTCAGTGGATTTGGAGACAAAGGACTAGTATCTGGAGACTGGAAATGAGGTAAATTTTGGTATTCATCTTTAACACCGTTTATTACCCATAATGTACCTTACTATGTGTCTACACCTGTGTCATCCTACAATTCATAGATCTTAAATTCATTTCAAAATAAATAAGTCTAAATTAAATATAACACCTTAAATTTTATGATAAAAATAACTTGAAAATTTTTGTAACACTCATGCACTAACTCATGTAAAAATTAACCTTATAACATTTATTCAAACTGATTTCTATGCACTACCTCCAGACAACATAGATTTTTTTTTGTTTTTGCCTTTATGTCCACAAACTGGCAACATTACCCTATGTAAATAAAGTGATTAATTCTCAACAATATTAAAGAAAGTAAATATCATAATCTACTTTAAATATTTTCTTAAAATCCAAATACAGTACAGTGTTGCATCATTATCACATGTTCAGCTGCAATTCAATGTGATCACTGACAATTTAATTATATTTTTATAATAATTTTAAACACACAGTTCTCATCCTTTTAATGGTATGAAAAAGTACAAATAAGCTTGTTTAACGAAGAGCTATGGCTATAATAGAAAATTTTAAAATGTACTGTACTAGTAACTATTCATTTTCATTCATCAGAAATATGATATCCATCTAATAGCTTCAAATGAAACTAAAAGTCAATTTTATGAAGACAATTTATTATTTGTGACATTAAATATACTGTACATGTATCTTACCCGGATAACGAGAGCTGTGTCCTGCTAGAGGAAGCACTGCTGGTATTAGCAGAGGTGCGGGCAGCTCCTCGGCTGCCTCTGGCTCTGCTTGCAGCTCGGCCTCTAACTTGCCCGCCTCGTGAACCTCGCCCTCTTCAAGAAGACAATATATATAAGAAAATAATTGCATGCTACTAAATGCAACCCATCCTCCTGTTTAGATAGTACTTGTTGAAACTATGTGCACCATAGTACAAACATTGAAGTAAAAGGCAATTAGATAGTAGAATTTGGTACTATTCACTTTACAGTCAAGAAAAAAAAATAAAAAGGCTAAAACCCAAAATTCTTAGGCCAAGTATAGCACATATATGTACTACATTAGGCCTCTGATAGCGGGTATTAGGCTTTGGAAAGTTAGGTTAGGTTACTGTAGGTTGTCTTTCAACAAACACAAAACCATTTCTAGTTTGTCCAAATTCAATAGTAACGATTTCTACTTTCTAATTCTGCATTATGCCATGTATGCACTCTGGTCCTCATCATTACTATAAGTACTAACTAAACAGGAGGAACGGGCTGACTAAATTAAGATACACTGCCAGGTATGTACACAGCTAAAAGTGCTACAAAGTCCTATTTCAGTAAGCTTGGGACAAAGGGAGAAAACCAAAGGTCCCAAGAACCAAACTCGATTTTCTTTCTTAAGTAACCAACATATCTTTGACTCAGGAATTAAAACATCATATTACTGGTGTTCACTGTACTTACTTTGCAGGAGTAGGTCTATCATCATCATCATCATTCATATCAAAATCACTCATTTGATCATCATCATTATCATCATTTTCACTAACTTTTGCTTTTACTCTTGTTGGATTATTAAGAGCAGCAAGAGCCTGTAAGAATGTTGAACAAGTATGAGTGAAATTAGTGACAAAATTTATTTTTAACATGTTTAATTACATTAAACCCTAATCAATTCAACATATGCATTATACTCTTTGTCATGGACAGCTCATTATATATAATAATGTCATTATCAAATTACTGAATACATTGCTAAACATAAAACAATCTTATCATCAATTATAAAGTTTATTTCCATTTATGTTGGCAGCAGGGAGACTGGTGGAGAGAGATGTGGCAATTTTCAAGGTAACATAGGACAATGCTAAGATGTGAATAACTAGGAAATTAGAAGTGGAGAGAAAACAATGAAAATCTAATAGGTGGAAGTTATGAAACAGGTGCTAATGCATTTTGCTAATTCCAATCATGGAAATGCCATGATTATTGCAATCATGAAAATGCACCATGATGGCATCTGTTATAGTGTGAAAAGTGTGCCAGATCACATGACAGCAAATGTATCTATACAAAAGGTGAGTACATTAATAAACAAGATGAAATATTGAAAAGCTCCAGGTGTTAATGCTAAAATTATTAAATTTACTGGAGAAAAACCACTATGCCAAAAGATACAGTCTAGTGGTTCTGTGCCAGATTTGAAAATAGCTTTTGACTATCACTGTATAAAAAGGAGTACAAAGTAAACACAAGAATTATAGGGGCATTAGTTTATTAAGTGTAGTGGGCAGGACAAAGTGCTTGGAAGAGCACAGGAATCCACCATAAGCAAAGTGGGTTCCGTGGGAGTATATTTAGGTGAGTATTGTTGCATACTGGCCTCGAGTCTAGCATTGAGACAGGGTTCTATGATACAAGCTGGTGGGTAGATCAGATATTTGCATTGGGACAACTTGTATACAAGGCATGTGAGAAAAGCTGCAAGGTGTATATGACATTTATGGACTTGGAAAAACCATATAACAAGATTAATAGAGAAGGAATTTAAAGATTAATGATCATGTATGGAGTTGGCAGTGTGCTGTTAAATGCTGTGAAAATTGTTTATGTAGGGAGTAATTCATGTGTAAGAGCTAGTGGTGTAATAGTTTTTGGTTCAGTGGTCAGAGTACAAGTGCTGTTGACGGGAAGACCCCTGGCAGCCTGGGTTCGAATCCTCTGAGGGGGTCATAGAGTTAAAGTGAATATAAATCAAATAATATATATATAAATAAAATTTATCATACAATGGCCCTCTTTTCTTATCCCAGTTCCACAGTCCCCAAACCATCCCACAGTCATGATGCTTACCATCATAACTGCTACCACATATTCAAATGTGCGATGGGACTGTTAACATTTTCATGACATGAAATTGAACAAATTGTTGTGGGTCTTGTGAAAATCACTTTTAGGCATGAGCCACATGAAAATTTCCAATGACCCATTGAGATCATGACATGCAGTGAGTCAAGTCTCATCACTATCCAACCCCTCTTCTACGAACCTCCTCCTCTTCCAGATGTGGATCACGGGTCATTCTCTCCAGCCGATATGCAATTATGTCTTCCACAACATCCTCTTCATTAAAGTCTTTTTCCAGAGATAAGATATGCTTTTGTGTTTTTTCCACTTGATGTCTGCAAAGAAAACAATCACAAACATAATATAAATACAGTAGCTGACAATACAAGCCTAAACTAGAGATTACTTGATCACAACCAATTGAGGAAGAAATCCATTTTATAAGCTGGTATATCTCATAGTACAAATAAGATAATGAAATACGGCTAAAACTACAAATATTCCCGTTTCTTTTCCGGGAGCCAAATCTTTTCCGTGATCTTTTTTTTCTTTTCTGAGCCAAGGCTCCATCTGGAGCCTTGGCTCAGAAAGAGGACAAGTGAATATATAATATGTGCATGATTAGGAATTTAAACAAAGGTGCTGAATGTTGGCCGAAAACATTCATTAAGGCTCTAATAACCGATTTTTGTTGTGGTGATGGGTCTGGGGTAGTTTGTGGTGGCTGAACCCCATACACAGTTAACCTAGGTGGAATAGGGATAAATGATTGGGGACATAATATTTGATTTTCGATAAAATACAGTCTGTTTTGGATGCTCTTTTGATCATGAGTTGCATACATGTTTAAGTCTATTGTCAATGTACAAACAGAAATTTTTTCTTATATTTTATGTCTAACCTTTACTTATTTTAAGATCAATTTGGTTAAATGAATTATTTGTAAATATAATAAAGTAGATCATTTTCATGTTCAGTGTAAATTTGTTGATTAAAATCCAACAAAAGTTCTCTTCATAGGCAGATGATACACAAGAAGAAATCTGAAGATATTTCCTGCAAAAAAAAATCATTTATTTTGGTTGAGAGGATAGAAAACTTACTGAAAGATTGTCTTGATGGCATCCTTGTCATCTTTCTCTACAAATGAGCGCACAGCACCTGCCAGACCTCGTTCAGTCAGTAGATACAGCTGTTGGTGTTGCTCCTCAAGGGATGCAAAGTACTGCTCTACAAGATCCTCCACATGAGTCTCCGACACCTAACAGTGACATAAAACAATGTAATATGAAAAGACCCTTTCTGGGTAGGTTATTTGACCGCTCTCTATGGCAAGATCACTTGTGTATATAGGCCATGATCATATATAGTCAGGCACAACAATTCGGATATCAGTGAACTTCGGGAATGTTTCAAGCCTTCCCTGCAGGTGATAAGAAAGCATAGTCATATAGTCACTGTAATACATATAACCTTACAGATCTTAAGGTAAATTATAGAGCTAACATTATTGTACATAAAGTATTGAAAATATTTGGCGAGACAAGTAATACAATGGAGAACTTGCAAAGTTCTGGAGGGAAATTAAACAGCTTTAAGGCTCCACCAAAACCCCAATCATTCACTTTGTTTACACATATACAGTACTGTACCAATGATAATAAAGAAATAGTCTCAATCCACCATATTCTCACAAGTTGACAGCCTCAATTTATATTTATATCCACAAAATTGCAGTCATGTAAGCTAATTTGTCTAGAAGATTATTTCATATAAAATATATACAGATTGTCATTATTAACACATGTTTGCATTTCTATAGATAAATAAGATACTGTGCCTTTCAAGATAATTAGGAAAGCAAGTGTAAGAAATTATTAAAGATAATAGAAACAGCGCAATGAATAACAACCAATTAAAAACATAAACTAAAATAGAAATAAATTATTAAAGAGTAAACAGTGTACTTTCATATTTATGTCCACATTATTATTGGAAAAACAAAGAGTGTGACATACGTCTTCATTAAACACGGCATCCATAGCATCCTTGTCCACACCCATCTCTCCCTTCTTTGCCTCTTTCTTCATTCTTCTGAACAATATCATATCACTGGAATTAGCCACTGTATCCTCGAACTTATGGCCAAAGCGACACACGTTGAACATCTGGGATTCATCTGTATATTCAACCCTGAGGCGAATGAGAGGCTTCTTGGGCTGCCGTGGATGATCTGCAAACATGATACCAAATGGTTTGATTATGGACATCTTCAACCATTATGGTAGAGCATAAAGGCGAATCAATAAAATAGAAAACCAACCATGAATTTTAAACAAAGAATCATATTGCCTCATTTTCTTCTATCCTCTAGCTTTGACATATTCAATGCCTCTAACCTCTTCTTATAGTTCTTGTCTTTCAGTTCCGGAAGCCATTTACTTGCATGTCTTTGCACCTTTTCCAGTTTGTTGATGAGCAGAATATGCATCCCCATGTATGGAAAAAATATTGGAGGCATGAAGCCATGATTAATTACTTAATCCAACCCCATTGACTTTGGCAAGAAGGGTCTATGTCAAACACATATTCAACCGTCCTCAAAGTCATAAGACTACTCTAGTTCCCCATGCACTATGATGTTATTGTTTATAAGGTGGTTATTTGTTACATACTACAGTGAGTATTCCTCAACTTTGACATAATGCGTAAAGAAATTTTGATTATTATGATTTGTTTAGATACTGCTCGAGGTCATCCCTCCCAAGAAAATGTGTCTTAAATAACTTTCAAATCTGCCACCCACCAGAAGACTACATGGACTAACAAAAATAGGAACCTTCCAGTCACTACCATACACATATTCCAATAAGAAAAATCTAATAAAAGAAATAAAAACCAAGTGAAAATTACTGCATAGAGTATTCAAACTGGGGAAGCCTAATTAATGCAAGAAGAGGGGCTTTAGGTAGAAAACCTGTCCTTAATTACTGTACATTACTCCTTCATTCAAACAATATTTCTCTAGAGAGAATCAGTTTAATGTACAAGATATGAGTACTTACCTGTGAGAAGTTTCTTGGCTTTGTTTATCATTTTATTGATGTATTTTTCTATAAAATCTTCCACAGGATTAGTTATATTCTTTGTAAGCACAATATCCATGTCATGGTCAGCCAAACACACATCCTGTACCAAGGAATACAACCAATAAACTTGCATTTCCAATCACACACATGTGATTATTTTTCAAGCAATAAAAAAATAAGTAATGAAGCCATTGTAACACGGGTTTGAGTTTCCTCTCACTACTTCTCTACCTTCTACTCCCTCTACCCGTATTCTTACTTTTTATTCTCTACCAAGGGACTCCAAAACTTTTACCAAAGCCAACTCCACGCCACGTGGTCCTAAGACGATTGACCGACTTAGGATTCTACACCCAGTATGACGTGACCTAGGCTCTGATCAAAACCCTAGAGTCGCCTCTACGCTGCCACCACCAGACCAGTAACACAGAGCAATGATCGAGGTCTGGATCGATCACGCTAATTAATCAACCTAGGGGCTTGATCCCCTCTATAAACGATGACCTTGAGTGTGGAATAAATTACACGGTAATGATAATTCCGATTCGATGTTAGAATCGGCGCCCAATCCAACTCTGCCTCGTGTGGACCACGTGACCAGGACAAGTGTACACATAAAACACATGGAAACAATAAAAATGCAAATTCTTAACTTAATTAATTTATTAAAAGAAAACTAAACAAAAATCTAAATATGTTCACTCCCTGTCACTTTAACACTCCCTACTTGACCTGAATGGCAAATGAGACTATTTCTATACATAACCATAGCAACTATACCTCTATGTTTTCCAGCTAAGATGTTGGGCTGGTCTCGGGGAGAGGTAAGATGTTTGACCTCTCCCAGCTGCTTCCGTGACCACACTGATCTCTCTCTTGTCTGGTCTACCCCAGACTAGAACATTGTATTGTTCCGCATCGCTTACCCAGTTACTTTAGCAAGGTTAAGTTATAACAATTAACCTCTGTTTGTACTGAATTGATCCAGACTGGTTGAATTATTTTACTTAAATTAAGTTACACAAACATCTAACGGCAAAGCTGTTCCCGATCCCCAAAATGGTTAATTGAACCTTGAGAAATACTAGACATGTCAACCCTGCTGACCTATGACCGCCGGTCACTCCGCCTTAAAAGTTAGATCTGATTCGTGACGTCACTGATGGTGACAAACTCAATAATTAGAATACTCTTGATATTGTATCCAGTACTATTATACAATACAATTTTAATGCAAAATGAATAAAGGCTAATTTTCTCTAAATTACTGAATACTATAGGATGGTTCATTATACGCAGCTATGAACAAAGCGTCGGTTATTTCCACCGCGAATTCCCCTGGGGGTCAGGTCACCATGCGGGCTCAGCTTCCCATTCTCTTTTGTCGATAAACCACTCTGGATAATTCTTACAACAGCCTAGTTTGTTACACCATTATGATACAAGATATGAGAATATCTAGATTTATATTTGTAATAAGCAATACATTCACTTACATCAAATACAAAAGGTCTGATAGTTTTTAGATCCAGAGCTGTAGTCTTGAACTGCTGCTGATGGTTCACCTCCAACAGTACCACTTTCTTCTCCACAGCCTCACCAGCACACAGAGATGTAACCACTGAGCTGCCTGGAATGCAATACAATATAAATATTATTTGTCACTTTAAATATGTAAGATGTTTGGTCACCCTCAGGCAGACTTGTTTGCCTCTGTGTGAAGTCACAGACAACCTGTTTATGTGGTATTCCCATGTAGGAAGGCTTTTTGCTGAATGCAGCATTTCTACTGGAACATGAATGGGAGAGGAAATATTTCTTTCCTCGGGTCAGGATGCTGCTATATTGTACATGATGAATAAGCTGGAGAGCTTTGAGGACTGTGTCCTATTGATGGATCCCATGTGGCTGGTTGAATATCATTATTCACCCTACTCACTTCTTAACCTTATTCAGTTTTGCTGAACCTGTGGCGTTTTTAGACAATTGGCAGCCAGGGAAAGACAGATTTCTCCACTGATCTTCGCATCTGAAGTTTTCAGAGCAGTTAAACCTTCTCCTGAATGGAAGGTAGACAGTGTACTTTTATATTTTTCATTAGCGGATCTCATGACAGCACCAGTATGAGGTCATCAGGCAAAATTCAGATTTTTATGGCCCTCTGCCATATTCTGTCCTTGTTGGTGGCTGCAGTTGTGTCTCTCCTCTCTTTGCTATATATTGAGCATGGCCTTATATTAAACACGACTTCCTCCTAGAGGTTCGCACTGTCGAACTCTTGAGTTGTATGCTTTTCCTTTTGTCTGTCTGTCTCCATATTCAAGAGACTGATGCATATTAATCATCAACAAAATTTATATGAACATGGGGTGTATTTTGTACATGATATATGAATGTGAAGTGATACTGCAATGGAAAGAAATTTTTTTCAAAATTACTGTTTCATAAATTGTTATGAATTTCCAGAAATGCTCTCACAACTGAAAAGAGTATTAACAAATGAGCTTATCGTGCAATAATGCATGGTAAGTCATACAGTACCTGGCTGGATGACATGGAAGGAGTCTGGAGCAGACAGTCGAGGTTCAATAAGGCATTCATGCTCATGACCCCAAATGACTAGATCAAGGAAGGGATCCAAGAAACTTTCTGGTATATAATTTGTCGGACCATGTTTGGCATGGTTTTGATGCAAAACCATGATGTTAAACCAACTCTCCATGGATTCTTTGGGACGAAGCATTTTGACCTGGAATCATAAGATAATTATTACAGTATCCCATTTGAACCTTTCTAGAGGATGAAGATACACACACACATACCCTTTTTGGATTAAAAGAGAGAAAACATGGGGCATCCAAACCCACAAGAAATGTAGGCAGTGCAACTGCCACATTCCTTCACTAACTCCCACTTAATAACTTACATCACTCAGAAAGGATAAATACTAATTATACCACAAAGGCATGACCAATATCCTAAAAGCAGGAAAGCAAAAGTGAAGAGCTACAGTAATTACAGCATAACACAAACCAATTTATGAACAGCACGGAAAAGTGAATAAAGATAAATTTGTTTTAGTTCTGCAGTGGTCATTAAACCGTTATAAAATGAAAGATCAAAGGAACTTAGGTTGAATCTGATCCTGATCCACTATGTTTTCATTCTGAGTAATCTAATTCTACCTCAATTTTCAGAAAATTCACTATCCACAGGATTTGTATTTTATAAACAAAATTTACTTGTATAAGCTAAGTTTGGTATTTGTGAGCTTTGTTTTTTGTGATTTTTGGAATACATAGGAAATATAGGGAGCCGGTCGGCCGAGCGGACAGCACGCTGGAATTATGATCCTGTGGTCCCGGGTTCGATCCCAGGCGCCGGCGAGAAACAATGGGCAGAGTTTCTTTCACCCTATGCCCCTGTTACCTAGCAGTAAAATAGGTACCTGGGTGTTAGTCAGCTGTCACTGGCTGCTTCCTGGGGGTGGAGGCCTGGTCGAGGACCGGGCCGCGGGGACACTAAAGCCACGAAATCATCTCAAGATAACCTAAGATAAGTTACATACTTGGTGGTTTTCATGTGGTTTAAACACCTGTATTACGGTTTTGCATGATGGTACCTAGGTGAGTGCACATATACTTTACACTAAACATTTCTGACTAGTGGTACGAGTAATATACAGCACATATATTAATTATGTTTCAAAAGGCATTTTACTCTGAGTAGGGACTCCAACTACTTCTTGGTGTCAATAACTTTTAGGGAACCCAATCTGCAGCTCAGGTTAATCTCCCACATTGATTAAACTGTGTAGTTTCTCACTTCTGTAACATATTTGACATATATTTGAGAGGAATCCTCCAAAATCAGGCATCAAATCAAAATGACATTTTATAAGCAGGACACTCAAAATTCTGTCATTTTCCCTATGAACACATGGCTCTCCAGTGCACAAAGATAGTTCTTTACTCACCCACCTAGTTGTACTCACATAGTTGTGCTTTGTAACAACTAGCACTCTTTGTAAGTCACAATGTGACTGGGCTCCAAGCAGGGGGCTGGGTGCTGCCCTTTGGTAGTGATGATAGGAAGTGGCAAAGTGTTCAAACTAGCAGTTTGTGGGAGCACTACTTGGCCGTCCTACAGGTGCCAAAGATATGGAAAGGCTTGGCCTCGACAGCTTTTTATTTTTGTTTTTTTATTTGGGTTCATTAAGAATAATGCTGTCATTTCTAATGAAACAAGCTAGTTGTTATCCTACATCTCTCCAGACTGAACTCGTGAGCTTTTCTCCATTGCCACCATAGCACCAATATGACCTGATACATTTGAAGAGTTTCTTGTTGCTCCTGCCAAGAGTGTCACCATACTCTGACTGTGAGGATGTATCTTGTCTTAGGATGCATCTGAATCTTGCTTAAAAAGCTCTCATAATCACTTCAAGCAAGAGTGTTCTACTCACTATGCACTATTAAGCACTTTAGTTGACTTTAGTTTGGCTGAAGCTAATCTAAAAATAAAAATGGTTGCACTTTATATTCATCCAATAAAAATACTTTCACTCATTACATTTTGCCTTTTTATTTTCTAAACCATATACTGTACTGAATTGCTCAACATCTTACCTTATTTTCTCTGAATAGTCTAAAAAGTCTTTCATCTTTAACAGAGGAAAGGCCATAAATGGCTAGCTTAGTACGTCCCTTTTCCAAGAGTATTGGAGAGATATTAATATTCTTCAAATCGGTTGTTCGGCCAAAGTAATTTATCAATCCTGCAACTGAAAGCATTTCCAGAGCACAGAACTGACCAAGACCTGAAAAATATATCAAATATTCAATGTAAATATAAATATATAGACAGTATATACTGCATAGCAAAGAATAACTAGCAGTCATACTTTACTGTATATACAAAAGGTAATCTTTCACTTGGGATTTTGACTTCAAGATTTTGTCCATACAGTGCTGCATATGCAACACCAACCAAACACAGTCAGCCAGCCAGCTAACATGTAAAGCTGGCCGGCAGTACTTGCCTCGTGCATTCAAAACGGTTTTAAAATTAATAACTGGAGACTTAACAAGGTGTGACATTATTCCATATGGTACTATATGTTCTGTCACATCAGCCAACTTTTCCCAAGCTCATCAAACTTTAATGTACAAATTAAAAACAATAGTACACGGTCCTGGAATGCATCCCTCTTAAATAGCCTTTGTGCTCTTGATAACAAAGCATAAAATTAAAATTATTCGACAATTGCAATTAATATTCCCATCTCTACATAAAGTATCTGCTAACTTTTATTCACACTTATATCTCCACAACATGTTTTAAGTCCTGTTTCATGTCCTAAAGAGAAAGCCACTATAATCTCTCTTGGAACATTAATATCGATTATTGTGCTGTGAAGTTACTGTATAATGATTATCAACTTAGATCATTTATCAATAATTTCATCCCAGCTTCCATTCTGACTATTCCTAATTGTTAGAATAGTGCAAAATCAATGATAACATATCTTACCTGATGGGTCATCATGGTTTCCATGAATTGAAAATATCGGGATGGCAACATTTAGGTTAGGGTCCAGATAATTAACAACTGGATTCTTAGAATGCTTGAAATTTTCCACTGGATCACTCAGGAAGTCAAACAGAACAGGCCTAAAAGCAAAAAAATGATTAGGGCCACAAGGTTTAAACATATAGCATCATAAATCATATTGTTCCCATTCATTTACACACACACTAAAACATCACTCTTTAATTATGCTCACCTATCACCAAATGTGTACTTCCTGATCAGGTCCATACAACGCACCATGCATTGACGCGATGGCTTGTTTTCGTGGAAGAGATCACCCCCTAATAAAATCATGTCCACCTCCTGCTCGACGGCCATCTCCAAAATTTCCTCAAAAGTTTCAAAGCTGTCATTACCTGTAGCAGGAGTCTGTCATTACAATTTAACTCATAGTGGTGAAGTCAAGAGGTATGAAGACTCAAGAAAAAAATCCCAATTGGGACACTTATTAATGTGCTTTCATATCCTATATATACTATCATGTACAGATATGTATTGTACACAACTCTAAAGGCTACAATATGCTGACAAATTATTAATATTATTTGTTACCATTTATTTCCTTCTTCAAAATTATTTTATCAAAATAGATTTAATTAATACAGGTGACCTTTTATTTGCACATGAAATGTGATCCTTGACAACTTGATGCAAACATAATTCATGCCAATAATATGACTAACCTTATTTTATGCTTGTATAGAAATGTTACTGAAGCAGTAAACTACTCTAGCAATTTATGAAACAATTACAGTTTGATTAATATGAACCATTAATTTCATATTATTAAATATGAAGTACTATATAGTACTAATTTTCTGACCTGATTTTTGTATAATGCATTTGTATATTTATTGCAGAAAATATCTTAGCCAGAATTACACTTATCTCTGTTTGCTTGATCTATGGCCCCCCAATGTGTCAATTTTTTTTTTTTTGCAGGGATATTCCTGCACAGGCCCTGTAATCATGAGATTAAGGTTGTGCATGGAGAAAATCATTCTTAAATTTACCTTGTAAAGTATAATATTCTAAAGTTTAAAATCACAACACTAAAGAGTTGCTGCTTTTGGTTCGTACAGATAACTCGAGAAGCGATTGTAATACAGTACTTGGTCAGTGTTAACAGAGGGTTATAAAAATATGAGAACTTACACCGTTCTGGATCTTTCTCAGCATAGCCAAGGTGGTTGTCGGTGGCTACAAGAATTCGAAACGTATCGTCGAGTTCTGTACCCATCTTGCCTGGACACTGCTCTACCGCTAAACCTGAAGTAGACTACAGCCATGTTAACACCACACAATATGTACAAGTAGTTTAAGAAGATATTTCAGCAATGGTTAAGCTATTAATTTATATTCGTAAATTTAACTTTACAATAAAGTTATAAATTGCCCTGTTTGAACAGTACCTCTGATTTACATGAGCAGTTATAATAATTCTACTCGTGCAGTCTAGCCCAGGACTTACCTATGATTTATCAGTTAGATAAGACTATCAGAATCAGTTAGATAAGACTATCAGAATCAGTTAGATAAGATTATCAGAATTGTATTTGTGCTGCTTTTTCAGCCATGTTCCCCCCCTTTTATCTCTTTTTTTTATTTGTTCTCAACTCATTTTATTCTTTATGCTCAATTAGTATTAAGCTTTAGTCATTTAAGTTTTTCATGCCCGAAACGCTTTGCGTAATAGTGGCTTTAGGCATTGTATGTACTAGCCCTATCTATAAATCCATCACTCTTTGTAAAATCTCTTGTATGTATGTACCTTACCTAAATAAACATTTGATTTGATCTGATTTGATTTAGATTATAACTGCATGCTGCGCACAAGACAATCTTGTGTGCAGCATAAACATAGCCATCAAACCTGTGGCTCATCACACCCCATCAACAGAAATGTCTTCACTTCCCTCTCACAGACATTTGTTACAGTAATAACAATACAGTACAGTACTGTACTTTAAAGTCTCACATGAAAATTTTCAGCAAGAGTGAGTTTTCAAAATGGCTTTATATTTTCTGGCATAGTTTAAACAACTATGTCACTCAATTTAAATTAGTTACTATGTCATTCATACTAATAAGAAATACAAGAGGTTTTGAGTGATTATGAAAAAGCCTTCCTACACAATGTATTGGTTTAATAATACCAATACATTGAGGAACGCCTTCACTGTATCACTTAAAATCAACCTACGTTTGGGGAAGAATGAATAATTTTTTTGTTTAATAAAGTAATATATTTGACTTCAATATATTGCACTGGCCACTCCTGAGGCAAAATTTAATCCATATAAGCATGGACAAGTCCCCCTTTCTTGGTTAATTACACTAGAAGACATTAATAAACAACTTGTCAATTGCAAATCCTCGAGGTCAACCAGTCTTTAAGTGTCGTCAAGATATCAAGTAAGTCAAATTACCAAAAGAAGGCACCAAGCCGGGAATAAAGACATCAGATGTCTTCTCAGCCCTTTAATAAACTAATGAGACAGCCAAACCGCACATTTATTAAATAATAATTCTCTGTATACAGATACAAAACTCAAGCTAGTAGCTACGACCTAGCTACTCATGCTAGGTCGTCTAGGAGATATGGCTCGGTTAGGCCATAGCACTCTATATAATGATGGGTTTCGTGTGTTCAAATTCATCGTTAGGAAGTAAATAACCTATTAGCAAGCAGAAGTAATTGCGTCACGTGTCTTAAGTGAATCCATCACTGGACCAGTCAACTACCAACCTTCCCTCGCTGCTTGGTCAACACTCAAAGGTGGCCGCGGGGGGTACCAGCCTAGTCTCTTTATATTCCACATTTATTTACATTCAAGTTCAAGTTCAAGTTCAAGTATGTTTATTGAGATAAGCAATAAATACATCTCAAAGGGATAGAGTAGCTTAGGCTATTTCTACCCCCCTCTACTTCAAGTAGAGGGGGGTAGAAATACCCCTGATGCCTGCATCTCAAATTGCAAATTGTTACTTACAGTGTACCTGAGAGTACTTGTAAGCAATCTACCTCATTTTTCATTTTTGCTCAATTTGTTTTTGTATTGCTTAGTCTTGTTTATAGTTTTGTTTTGTATTTCTATATCTTGTGTTTTGTATAGTCCATGTTTATATGTTTTTTCTTTAATCTCATTTATTACTTAGGTTGCCTAGCCTAGCCATACTCCCTTACTCCATTGTACCCCTGTAAGCCCCTTTTGTGTTTGTTTTGTACAGTATTGTGTACATTTTTTTTCCCCTATTTTATTTTCCCTATTTTATATTCCCTATTTTCCCTATTTTTTCCCTATTTTATAGCTTATTTCTACCTTGTAATTTGCCTTTCTTTCCTTGTTTTTCCTGCAATCAGCTTTTTTTTATGCAGACAAGTATAGACCCAGAACTTAACCTCTTATCCACTATCTATGACAATAATCATTTTAATGATCTAAATTGCAGATATTTTGCAGCACATGATGTAAACAATGTATTAACTCATAATCACAATATCTCTGTAATCAATTTGAACGTTAGATCCCTAGGTAAACACTTCGATGATGTTAGTGCCTTGATTGAAGCTATTGACAACAAATTCTCTTTTATTATACTTACTGAAACATGGTTGAAAGAGGATACTACTCAACTCTTTAACATGCCTAACTACTCAGCAATTCACAACTGTCGTCAACTTCAGAGAGGTGGTGGCACTGCTCTTTACTACCACCAAGAACTAACATGCTTAAAAGAAATTAGAACTAGAGACTACTATGGGGAGTATATCTTCGCCAGCTTCAGAGTCAAGGGTGCCGAGTCTGTCCTGTCTGTGGGTGCAGTTTATAGAATTCCTAACACTGATGTGTCCGAATTCAACTCAAACCTTAGAAATCTAATACTTGATAACAGACTGAACAAAAACCACCTAATTATCGCAGGGGACTTTAATATTGACCTCTGCGAGCCTGAACACCCTACTGCTGTTAGCTTCCTCAACTGTATGAATTCCTGCTTCCTCATACCCTTAATCACTAGACCTACTAGAATCACTGATAGCACTGCCACGACTCTAGATCACATCTGGACAAACATAACCTCTCCGCTTACTTCAGGAATGATCACCGATAGCACTACAGACCATTACCCCACATTTCTCTTAACTAACATTAGCAAACCACCTCTTGAGTCAAGAGAGATACTTTTATTCTTGTGTTTTGCTTTATCGTGTATCTTATATCGTGATCCCTCTGCATCTCTATGCTCACTGATATTGATCCTGATCAAAATCTTCTGTCTCATATCTACACCAACCAGCACATTGATCATCATTATTGCAAGTATTTCACAGCACACCAGGCTAAAAACAAACTCCAAAATAGCACCTGTCTATCAGTTTATAACCAAAATGTTAGATCACTTGGTAAACATTTTGACGATTTAAATGCATTACTCACAGCAATAGGTACTAACCTATCGTTCATTATTTTAACAGAAACTTGGCTAAATAAAGACTATACCCAACTCTACAACTTAGCTGGTTATAAAGCCATTCATAACTGTAGGCCTAATAAAAAAGGTGGTGGCACAGCTATATATTACCGAGATACATTTATCTGCAACAGTGTTATTAGTGACAGAGATGACTACTGTGAATATACTTTTGCTCAGTTTTCAATTAAATCCCTTACATCTTCTTTGACTGATTTCCCAATACTAACATAGCTTTTTACTCAGACAACCTAAGGAATCTTATTATAAACAACAATCTCAACAAAAACCACTTCATTCTGGGAGGAGATTTTAATATTGACCTGGGTCAACAAAATTGCTCTCAAGTTGACTATTTCCTTAACAGCATGAACTCCTGTATGCTAATCCCCACAATCACCAAACCTACCCGAGTCACTCAAACATCAGCCACTACCTTGGACCACATATGGACAAACATAACAGCTCCCCTTGTATCTGGTATAATCTACGACAGAACAACTGACCACTATCCTACCTTTCTCATAGCGAACATGGACATAACACCACCAAAAAGCAAGAAACTTTCATTTAGGCTACACAGTGAATCAGCTTTAGACAATCTTACAGAGGCACTTTACAATATTAACTGGGATTCTGAATTCAATAATACCCATGATATAAATTCATTAGCTAACCTCTTCATCTCCAAAACTCTAAGCCTCTACAACATTCATTGTCCCCTTCTTACCAAGCAAGTAACTGACAAAAGATTAAACAATCCATGGCTCACAAGTGGCATTCTCAACTCAATCAACAAGAAACATGAATATGAAAAGAAAGTTAGGATTGGCCTAGTTTCAAAGGAAGTAGCTAAAAGGTACTCATCAATGCTTACCAGTATCATAAGAAAGGCAAAACTTGCATATTATGTGAATAGATTCAATGAAGCAAAAGGCAACATGAAAAGCACTTGGAAAACTATCTCTAGTATCCTAGGAACTAAACAACACTCACATAACCAAATAAAACTCTACAAGGATGGGGGTATACCGTCAACTGACTTAGAAATGGCAAATGAATTTAATAGTTTCTTTTCATCGGTTGGTGCTAATCTTGCCAGTAAAATCCCACAGACTCAGACACATATTAACACATATCTCTCAGGCAGCTATCCAAACTCTCTTCTCCTTTCACCAATCAGCCCGGCAGATGTTGTGTCCATCATACATTCTCTAAAAACCAAGGCAGGGAACACCAGTGAAATTCCGTCCATTGTGTACAAGAGAGCCTCCCATGCCCTTGCCCCACCCATAGCACTACTGTTCAACAAATCTATAGAGTATCACACCTTCCCTGATATCCTCAAAAAAGCAAGAGTAACGCCAGTCCATAAAGGAGGCAATCCGGCGGACATAAACAATTATAGACCAATATCAAATCTACCCATTCTATCAAAAATATTTGAAAAAATTATTTACAAACAGCTCTATTCCTACCTCGTAAAATTCGACATACTCAGCCCCTGCCAGTTTGGCTTCCGGTCCCAAAAGAGCACCAATGATGCAATCATTAGTCTCCTTGACATTATCTACTCAGCCCTTGACAAAAATGAGTTTCCGATTGGACTCTTCATTGACCTAAGAAAAGCCTTTGATACTGTTAATCACAACTACCTCTTACTTAAACTCCAGCATTATGGAATCCGAGGCCTTGCCCTTGACTACATCCGATCCTATCTTAGTGACAGACACCAATATGTAACCATCAATGATACAACTTCTTCCACTCTACCAATTACCGTTGGAGTGCCACAGGGCAGCATCTTAGGACCTCTTCTATTTCTTATATATATAAACGATCTGCCTAATGTCTCTAATATTCTCAAACCTATATTGTTTGCTGACGATACTACCCTTATCTACTCAAACCTCAACCCACATACACTAAATAATGTTGTGAATAATGAATTAAAAAAAGTCCACTTATGGATGTCAACGAACAAACTAACATTAAACATCGAAAAGACTTACTACATCTTATTTGGAAGCAAATCATCAAATGCAATTCAGCTACAGATAGACAACATTAACATCAGTAATAAAAATGATGGCAAGTTTCTTGGCCTATTCCTAGACAAGAGACTCAACTTCAGCACCCACATTCAACACATAACTAAGAAAGTCTCTAAGACAGTTGGTATACTCTCCAAAATCAGATATTATGTTCCTAACTCTGCTCTCCTCTCACTATATTATGCACTAATCTACCCCTATCTTAATTATGGTATCTGTGCATGGGGGTCTACCACTGCAAACCACCTTAAGCCCATCATCACACAGCAAAAATCTGCTATCAGAATAATAACTAACTCTGCTTTCAGACAACACTCAGCTCCCTTGTTTAAATCCCTAAACTTGCTAAATATTAACTCCCTCCACACATTCTCTTGTGTCAACTACATTTACAAAACCCTGTTCTTAAATGCAAACCATGCTCTGAAACTCTCCCTGGACAGATGTAATAGGACCCATTATCACCACACCAGAAATAAATATCTCTTTGATATCCCCAGGGTCAAACTTAATCTGTGTAAACACTCTATGCAAATTAAGGGACCTAGTCTATGGAACTCACTCCCTAGTGAATTGAAAAACTGTAAAACTTTTGCCTTATTTAAAAGCAAAACCAAAAAGTACCTAACTTCATCTATTTAGTTTCCTACACTGAGCTTTAAATTTGCTCTGTACCTAGTGTTACCCAATCTCCTAATTTTTATGTAATATCAAACAACCTTATCATTGTGTTCATTGCTGTCTTCTTTTATGTGCTAGCCATATGCTGTATTGTGACTACCAATTTTTGTCAACTACCATTCAAGCTGTCATTGCAATCAATCTTATATTGTTTCTGCTGTATTGTGCCTACCAATTTGTTGTCAACTACCATTTTAAGCTGTCATTGCAATCAATCATAGCTACCTATGTGCTTTAATATACTGTACCTATAATTTTCTCTCATCTTCTTTTTTTTCATTCCATGTAATCTGTTATCATTTTTTTGTCTATAAATTTTGCAAGTATTTACCTCCTTAAAATTTTCTTAGATTAAGGACCTGCCCGAAACGCTGCGCGTGCTAGTGGCTTTACAAGACTGTAATTACCATATTTGTATCCTCACATTCCTTATGTACATTCTTGTATATGCATAAATAAATAAATAAATAAATAAATAATGCCAACTCTAGATCACATCTGGACAAACATAACCTCTCCGCTTACTTCAGGTATAATCACCGATAGCACTACAG